ATAACCCTCATATTGAAGATCAGTGAGGAAAGGAACTAATTGTTTATTTGCTTGTTTGGGTCTGGTAACTTTTGTTATGCAAAATTTAAAATTTATAAAGAGAAATAGGGAGAATAGTAAGTAAAAGTGTAATGAATCCTCACGTACGTGCTGTCTAATTTCAACATTTATTAATTTATCAATCCCATCCTTCCCTGCCCTTTTTTTTTTTTTAAAAAAAAACACAAATCCCAGATACATTATTCGAAGATGGACTTTTTAAACAAATGATGCTGGGAAATTATTTATATCAAAAAATGGAATTGGGCCACAACCTCATACCTTCAGAATAGATTAAAAGACTCATTTAAGAATGATTTTTAGGAGCCAAAATTAGGGAATATCTTTATGTTCTTGAAGTTGAGAAGAATTCTTTAACAAACAACAAACAGAAAAAAAAAAACAGTAACACCAAACTCACTGCTGTCAAGTTGGATCCGACTCATAGCAACCCCTCCTTGGGTTTGCGAGGCAGTATCACTATGGAAGTAGATTGCCCAACCTTCCTTCCGAGGAGTGGCTGGTGGGTTTAAACCACCAGACTTCTGGTTAGCAGTCATGTACCTTAGGCACTATGCTACCAGAGCTCCTAAACTGAGAAAAGTTATTTGTAATCTCTGAAGTTGAGGAGAAGACAGAAAAAGTGATTAAGGAGAGCCAGGAAGCTTCTAGGGAATGGTAATGTTACATTTTTTGGCCAGTTGGTAGGTTTGCAGTTATTTGTTTTTTTCTTTAAATTGATTGTATGTACATTTTTATTATGTATGTGGTATTTCACAATAAATACCACAACAATACAAACATAGAAATTAGAAAATGGGTATTTCATGTCTTTAATTATTTTCGTAGGGATGCCTTTTTAAGTGAGAAATCATTCCCAAAAGTTTAGAAGCTTTAAGGCATTAATTTTTAATTCAATACATTTGCACAAATCATAGAGTTCAAAGGTTAGAGTGTTTAATGATGAAATACCACCTTATCTGGAATAAGAGAAAGATTAAATCTTCAGAATATTAATGTTTAACATTCATTGTAGTTGCACAGATCATGGTATTTTAAGGTCACAGCTTCTTACTCAAACATAGCTCTTGCCTCTAGCTAAAATGTTAATTTTTTACCCAATTAACTTTCTAAATTGGCATTTAAAGGTCAGCTTGTTAAAATAGAAGACATAGTTCTTTGCTAGGAAAGATTCACTGAACAACTTTAAAACTGGTAAGTTGTAATTTAATTTGTGACTAGCATGGACATTGCCAAATCTGCTATACTTTTTGAGTATTTGCAGGTCTTTGTGGCAATTACTTGATATTGCATTCTGTTTCTGTTTTTTGACTTGGTTTATGGGCAGTTTGTCTCTGTATTTGCACATGGAGTCTACTTATGTGTTGTTAGCTTTCTTCTCTAGTAAAAATAAAGAGGATAAGAACTTTAAGCTACCAGTTCACTGCTTATGATTCCTCATGGCAGGAGAACAAAGGTGGTGGTGGTGGTGTGGTTAACCTCTCTTACCAACATTCTAACAAGCTTTCAGGGCAGAGAACTCCTCTGGTTCTTATGGCAAAAGAAGAGGGTATGGAGAGGGACTCTGAAGTTTTGGTGGTGTAGTACCTAGGGTATTTGACTGCTAACCAGAAAGCTGGCGGTTCAAACTCACCAGCCACTCCTTGGAAGGAGGATTGGGCAATGTACTTCCATAATGATACCACCTCGGAAACCAAAGGAGGGGTTACTATGAGTCAGATCTGACTGGATGGCAGTGAGGCTTTTTTTTTTTTAAATAAGTCCCAAAGGAGCCTTAGTGGTGCAGTGGTGAAGTGCTCAGCTGCTGACTAAAAAGGATAATGGTTCCAACCCACCCAGCAGCACCACAGAAGAGACACCTAGCGGTCTCTTTCCATAAATATAACAGCCTAGGAAATTCTGTGGGGCAGTTCTACTCTGTCTCATGGGTTCACTATGAGTCTGAATTGATTCTACAGTATTTAACAGTGACCATACGGCCCAAGATAGTGAACTCTGCTGTTCCTACAATACCATACCTTGTAGTTTGAAGCTTCTGGATACCTACCAATTCTGGTCAAAGCCATAATTTGATTTTTATAATGGTGCCAAAGGGGCAGGGAGGCTGCATCTCCTGACCTTCTCTAACCCAAGAGGAAGACAGAATCACCATCAGTAGCCCAAGGCCTATCACTTTGAGGCCAGACATGACACCTCCCTCCAGCCCTTTCACCAACCCTGACACCAACCGTTTCTCTTGCAGCACGCACCACCTCTCTGCTGTGTTTGATAATTCGCTGCAGTAGCCACACAGAACTCACAGGTTATGGGGTTTATTAGGGAAGCAACAGGCTGCAATTCAAGTTCAGATACACGCTCAGTCTCTCTCAGCCTGCCGTTTCTCAGCTGACGGTCTCTCTCCCAGCAGTGCATGTTTGTTGGTGTTTCTCTCAGCAGCACGTGTCTCTTGTGTTTCTATCTAAGCAATGCACATCTCCCATCTTCCAGCCGGCAGTGAGACATCCCTAGTAGGGCTTCTTTTGAGCCTGGCAGAGGCCAAACTAACCAATCCCAACATAAAATTATTTTGTGCTGCTCCTAACAGAAATAACCCCAAGTGGGTAATGTTAACAATTAGGAGCTACTCAGTTGCTCACAGCAATTCCACCACAGAGTTTACAAAGACTATGGCTAGAAAAGCCACACTATGTAATTTAGTGTACACTGCAAGTGGCAATGAGACATTTAAGGTCACTAAAACATAGAGAAATGGCTCTTTTTTTCCCTGCCTAAACACATTTTGGGAGTTCTGGTAGCATAGTGGCTAAGACACTTGCCTGCTAACCAGACGGCTGGCGGTTCAATCCCACCAGCCGCTCCTCGGAAGGAAGGTTGGGCAATCCTACTTCCGTAGTGATACTGCCTCGGAAACCCAAGGAGGGGTTGCTATGAGTCGGATTTGACTCGACGGCACATAACAACAACAAAAACACATTTTATACACTATGAAATAAATACAACAAGTGAACGCTGTTTTGCGAACAATCCTATCATACTGTTCAGCCTTTTACTTTCAGAATGGTCTTGATTCCTAGCACTGGCTTTGCTTCCTTGGTGTTTGGAGCAGCAGCAAAGAGGGTTTTATGTGCCTTGATAGGGAAATTTTTCTGGCGTAACTGGGGTAGCCTGTAGACCTAAGGGAGATGATGTGAGACTTTTGAGTAAATTTTTATGGGGCAAAACTTGTGGGTTTTTTGGCCTGGTTTTAAGTATAATGGTTAAGTTTATCTTCAAGTTATACAAACATATATTAAATTATTAATATATTAAAAGAACAAGTAAATCAGATTCCTAAAGAAGGATTCTAAGCAAAGATTAGATGGTGATACTTATTTTCCCTCACCTTCATCTTTTAATGTTATTGATTGTTGTTATTGTTGTTACGTGCCATTGAGTTGTCTCCAGCTCAAAGCAACCGTGTGCATAGCAGAATGAAACACTGCCTGGTCCTGCGCCAGCTCCACAATCCTTGCTATACTGGAGCCCATTGCTGCAGCCTCTGCGTCAATCCATCTCATTGGGGGCCTTCCCCTCTTTCGTTGATGCTCCACCTTACCAAGCATGACCTCCTTCTCCAAGGAATGGTCCCTTCTGACAACATGATCAAAGTCATATTGATTGCGTAGGGGAAAAAAAATAATTGTTTTTCCAGAGAGTTTTGCCAGGCCTCCATTAAAAATTTTTGTAATGTTCCTTGTCAACCACTTGTCCCTTAGCTTTTTCATTCTGGTGGCTTGTGTGTTGCTGTGATGTTGGAAAGCTATGCATTGGTATTTCAAATACCAGCAGAGTCACCAATGGCAGATTTCAGTGGAGATTCCAGACTAAGACTGATTAGGGAAAAAGACATAGTGATCTACTTCCAAAAATTAGCCAGTGAAAACCTTATGGATCACAACAGACCATTGTCCATCTGCTTGCTTTGTACACATCATCAGGAGGGATCAATCGCTAGAGGTAGACATCATGGTTGGTTAAGTGGAGGACCAGTGAGAGGTGAGAGACTTATGGTGCGATGGATTGGCACAGTAGCCGCAATGATGGAGTTGAACATGCGATAATGAGGATGACATAGTACTGGGCATTGTTTTGTTTGGTTGTGTATAACGTTGCCATGAGTTGACATCACCAGCAGCTAACAACAATAACAATGCTTCTTGTGGTATATTGTATAATTGTCATTAATTCTTACTACTTTTCTCTACGAAGGGTGCATTATACTTGTTCATTGAGGGCAGGACTGGTCATGTGAATTGATTTTGGCCAGTGAATGTAAACACAAGTGGTATGTGTCACTTTTGAGAAGAAACTTTTAAGAGCCAGCAGCTGCTTTACCCTGTTATCTTTTCCTGCTGCCACTGTTACCATATAGAGAGACTGCTTTATCAGCTTCGGTCTCTTAAGTAAAAAAGATGTAGAACATGGAGCAATAGTCAGCTTACGATGAGCATGTAGTGAGCACAAAGATACCTGTTGTAAGACAGATTTAGGGGTGGTTTGTTACCACAGCATAACCAAACCTATTTTGACTGATACATTCTCTCTTACCTAGAAAGCAAGATGTCTTGCTTTGTTAAGAAAGCATAAATATTATTTGGAATATGATTTTTAAAATTTTACTCTTAAGCAGCAGATTCTGTGTCTGTTTTGTTAATTGAAATTGTTTTTCGTTGCCATCAAATCAGCTCCATTTAGCAGTGAATAAATATTTTAATAGGTTTATAAGTTTACTATAACATGTGCAGTATTAGATTAACAGATTTTCCAAATATTTGTCCAAAAGGGTATGTTTCAACTTGGCAGCTTTTTTATTTAGTGTATTTCTTGGCAGTTTGTTATTTAATGGCAGGAGGTTTTAAATTGCCTATGCTTAAAAAACTTTTTTTTTTTTTCTTTTCCAGCTTCTTGGACATTTAATGATTGTTGGCAAGAAATGTGCTGCTGATCTGGGCCTGAAAAAGGGTTATCGAATGGTGGTGAATGAAGGTTCAGATGGGGGACAGTCTGTTTATCATGTTCATCTCCATGTTCTTGGGGGTCGTCAGATGAATTGGCCTCCTGGTTAAGCATGCTTTAGGGTACTTTTCCCTTCTCTAGGCAGTGATCAGGTTTTCAAGACCAAATTTGTTAAATAGTCCACTTAATTTTGCCTGTGTATGGAGAGGTTAAGGGAATAATTAAAAAACCTCATACATAATAAAAGACATTATTGCATGGTTTACAGTCTCTCTACATTCTGTATTTGATTTGTTAAATTAAAAAAATTTGTATTTGATTTTTTTGGAGGGTGGGGTTCATAATTTAAGAGATTTCTTCTTTTTTCCCCTAGTGAGGCTTCAGTGTGATATTGTTATAATGGTGTGACTCGTCTTTGGTGACAAATTACAAGATTTCATAAATTTAGCTTTAATTTTAAAATAAAAATTTAATTTTAATTTTAAAATCCAGTCCACTGGATTGTTGGTGGGAATTGGAAGGGATGAAAGTAGTGTCATCATAGAATGTTTCATGAACATGTGGAGTCATGGATTAATATCTCCTTACTATCTAAACACTTTCTGAATATTTATGATAAAGACTTGAAAACATTTTACTTAGAATTCATTTGCAAATTGAAAACTCACTATTGTGATTGTGTGTGTGCACAATGGCAAAAATACTTAAATTGTACATTAATTTGGCTTTGGGGAGTTTTGGAGGGAATCCCAGGGTCTGATTTCTTAGACTGACAACCACATACTGTTTTTGGTCTTGCCATGCACCGTATCCTTTCTAAGATTCTGCAGGGCAAATAGTTTTGCTTCTTGACTTTCTTGCATGTAGGCATTTAGCTTTCATTTTTTCTTGTCTGCTAAATCAGAAACTACCTCCTCATTTACCTTCAACCTTCCAAAATTTGATATTTGTCTCTTTTGTTTTCTTTTTCATTCTCTTTTTCTTTATAGGTTTATTTCTTTTTTAACCTCTAAAACGCATTTTTGTAGAGTTTTGACACATTGAAGGATCCCTGGTGGCACAGCGGTTAAAGCATTGGTTGCTATCTGTAAGGTGGTGGTTCAAACCCACCAGCTGCTCTGCAGGAAGAAAGATATGGCAGTCTGCATCTGTAAAGATTAAACTGCCTGGGAAACCTTGTGGAGCATTTCTGCTCTCTGTCCTGTAGGATCACTATGAGTGAGAACTCCATGGCAACAGGTTTGGTTTGGTTTTTGTATCCACAAAAATAGCGTTGCAGTGTAGTGATTAAGTGCTAGGCTTTTATCCAGAAGGTTGGCTGTTGAAATTCACCAGCTCTTCAGTAGGAGAAGCTGTGTCATTCTGCTTTTGTGAAGAATTACAGCCTTAGAAATCCTACCAGGCAGTGTACTCTGTTTTATAGAGTTGCTGTGAGTTGGAATTGCCTTGGCGGCAGTCGGTTTTTGTAACCCATTTAATTGCAAATTCTTTATTTTTCTTTTAAAAATTTTAATTTGTTTTTAGCCATTTTTTTAAAGTTTTTTTTTGCTGGAGTGGGAATTTAGGAGAATTAGTTCTTTACGTATTAGAAATAATATTTTTCCCAATTTGTCATTTATGTCTTTACTTTCTTTTTGATGTTTAAAATATTCTTATAATTAATGTATCATTAAAAAATAGTTTGTATTTATTTCTATAATTTTATATTTTTAAAATTTTTATTGTGATTTGGGTGCAAGTTTACAGAGAAAATTTATTTTCCATACAGCAGTTCATATACATTTTGTCTCATGACATTGACTGCAATTCTCAAAAAAAATTCTTTATATTTTTTTTTTAAAAAACCTTTCCCAGCCCAAGAGCATGTTTTAAAATCTTTTTTTGTCCCCAGTACCTTTGTGGGAGCTCTGGTGGTATAGTGCCGAAGGCACTTGACTGCTAACCAGAAGGCTGGTGGTTCAATTCCACCAACCACTCCTTGGAAGGAAAGTTGGGCAATCTACTTCCATAGTGATACTGCCTTGGAAACCCAAAGAATGGTTGCTATGAGTTGGGTTTGACTCAATGGCAGTGATTTTTTTTTTTTTTTAGTACTTTTATGACTTTTTATTAGGGGAAGTCTGAAGAAGACTTTTGGAGGGATTTGTGCAACGATAAAGAGTGAAATCATGAGAGAAGCATATGTGCTGTGTATAAGAGGGTTGAGTCTGCTTTCTTGAGAGTCTTTGGGATATTGCAGGCATAATGTCTTTTCTCCTAATTTCCTCAAACCTCTGCTCATAAATCAGAAAGGCAGCTGTGTCATCTCTCTGCCTTAATAAGACTTGTGGCAGGATACAGCAAACTTCATATCTCTAAAATAGTCCACAATGATCCTCACCTCTAATACTCAAACCCTTGAATAGTTTCCCATACTCAGGGTTTATCTTTGATCAGCAGTATAGTGGAAGTGGAAGAGTTTGATTTCTAAAAAATCAAACCAAATTCACTGCCATTGAGTCAGATCGAACTCATAGTGATCCCTCCTTGAGTTTCTGAGGTGGTATCACTATGGAAGTAGATTGTGCAGTCTTCCTTCCCAGGAGTGGTTGGGGGGTTTGAACCACCAGCTTTCTGGTTAGCAGTCAGATGTCTTAGGCACTACACCAATCATAAAGCTCATTGTGGCTTACCCCTCGGTCTCTTGGATTGTAAACTTTTGGGGAAGACAGCTGCTATGACAGAGGACACTCAAGCAGTCCACTGGAAAGGACCATGTTTAAAGGAACAGGCCACCTGCCAGCAGCCAGCAACAGCATGTCAGCTATGTGAATAAACCACCTTGGAAGTATATCCTGCAGCCCAGTCAAGTCTTCAGGTGACTATAGTCCTGGCCAACATCTGACTGCAGCCTGATGAGAGACCTCAAGATAGAACCACCTGGCCAATCTGCTCCTGAATTCCTCTTGATCCATAGAAATGGAAATAATAAATAATTGTTTTAAGCCAGTAAGTTTTGGGGTGATTTGTTACATAGTAACAGATATCATCCTGTTTTCTTTGCTTGTTAGCACACAGCAAGCTTGTATTTTTCTACATCCTTCCAGCTCTGTGGGGCCATATGACTGTAGTCTGGTCAGTCAGATGTGAATTGATGTATGAATTGATGAATGAATGTAGGAATCGATGTATGCAAATTTTAAGCCCCTGAAAAATCTTTCACGCTGTCTTCCATGCTTTCCTCTGTTGGTACAATGCAGATAGGACCCAGCAGAAGACATGGAGCTTGCTTTTGACATCACCATGATGTCAGTAAGAATTTGGGTTCCTAAAACATACACCCACTCAACATTTTCTACTTGTAGATATTTGACAGAAGGAGCTTGAGTCTCTGAATAAATGAATGGAGCAGAATTCCCCTCCCCACTTCTGAGCGATGGACTTTGTGTTAAGCCACTGAGATTTCAGGATTTAGGTAACAGTAGCTGTTTACTATAATTAATACAAGACATATGATTGAAGAGTAGTGGAAGGTACTCTCCTGTATAAGGTAGCTTGGGATTTTAACAATTATAGAGTCTGCTTATTTGATGATTATTTGCTTTTTGAATTAGTCAGGAGGATGAGTAGTATAAACAAGGCTTGAAGTAAACAGGATTTGTAAGCTGAGTGTAAGCCAATTTTTGTGGTGATCATAGTACCACAGCTTAATTTAACTGAGCTGAGGGGGAGGTTAAATGGGAGATAACAGCTGTCTTTAACATTAAATGTTATATTTTAGATATGAAGTGACAGGTTCAAGCTATTCAAAGGATATAATTTATCATTGAGATAATCTGCTTTGAGTATGCTACTGAAAAAGTTCAGTCTGTAGTCTTACTTTAAAAATGCATAATTTTCGTTTGTATCGGTTAGAACTTCCCTACGTAACACATGGGACAGGTTTAAACAGGATAGAGGCTTATTTTTCTCTTGAAGTCCTGAGATAGAAGTCTAAGACTTGACAGCACCATGATGTCAGTAAGAATTTGGGTTCCTATTTGCTTTGCCATCGTTTGCATTTGATTTTGATCTTCATAGTTTAATATGACTGATGCAGCTCTAGCTATTCAGAAAGGGGGAATGGAAAAGGCAAAAAGTTACATGCTAGCATTATATCCCTTTTTATAGAGCTTTTCTTGGGGTTCCTCTCAACTTACATATCATTAGCCATGACAAGCTATAAGATAGGCTGGGTACTTTGCCACCTAGAATAAAATTAGAAAAGAAAAAGTAGATATTGAGGGATATGTCAGTCTGTGCCCTATCATTCATAGCTAGTGTGGAAAAAGACCCATGCATTCTTGGACCTTCACTTAGCCCAAGAGCTGAGAAGACTTCTCCAGGTAGTCAGTTTGACTGCAGTCTCTCTTGTGTGACATTGAGTCAAGACTGGGAGGCATTGGTCTTGACCACCACCAACTATTGTCTGTGAATAACAGTGCAACTTTAATCCAAGTGAAGTTCCTTGCTGCACTCACTTCTGGTGCTGTACTATACTCACACACACACACACACACACATACACATATGTATATTGTTTTCACATTATGGCTTACAAAATAATAAATTTTAAGAAGTTCCTTTCTTACAGCATGAGGTTTTGGTTAAAGAGAAAAAAAGTAGTTAATTGTTTTTCTGTCAGATATGTACTCTATGTCAGCTAATTCAAACTTTGCATATCCTTTTCATTTAATTGAATTTTGATAATGCCAGCTTTTGACAGTAATTGCTCCTTGAACTGCTTTATGTTCCATCCCCAAAACAAACCCACTGCCATAGAGTTGATTCCAACTCATGGTGACCCTATAGGACACAGCAGAACTGCCCCATAGGATTTCCAAGGCTGTAAATCTTTACAGAAGCAGACTGCCTTATCTTTCTCCTGTGAAACAGCTAGCTGGTGGGTTTGAACTGCTGTCCTTTTGGTTAGCAGGCAGATGCTTTAACCACTGCACCACCAATGTTATATAGGGTCATTGGATATAGATTTTTTTCCTATATGACTCATTGTTTGGTTATATATTGTAGCAGTTCTATAAGCTTCTCAGAAATAGTGACTTGTATGTGCCTTTGCTTATTTACAGTAAATTCTGATGTTTCTTTAGTTGGTTTCTTTATTTCGTGCTGAATATTATTTTGCAGTTGACCTAGAAACATGCAATTTAAAATGGTTTCATTGATCTTTGTTTGAAAATGACCCAAAATCTTGGTTGGCTTCATGTTCCTTTTTTTAAAGT